GTGCTGCGTGAGTATAAGGGCCTGTCCATGTGATTTTCTTTACATGAAGGGGGCTTAAGTTATGTAACTATATGAACTGTTCTTCATTGCCCTTGTCATCCATTATAATGTTTGTTAGATCATGTTTCATACCAGATTGTAAGCTCATTGGGGATTGTAAGCCATGCCTCCCTATGTGTCTGGGTAGCACTTTGTACAATGGGTCTGCTGCCCTGACTTGGTCCCTTTGCAGCTAACGGGCTGCAAATATCAATAATAGCTCCATATCAACCTTGGCACTGCTCTGTATTAGACAAGTGGACTGTTACGCTAACATGGAAAATTTATTCCAGGCAGAATATTGTTCATGCTTATAAAATACTAAATTGATATAGGAATAATACACTGTATAGACTACATGACATACACTAATCCTTCCATATTAAATTAATTTAATACTCAATTAAGCTAATATGATCTTGTGCTAATACTGTGGAGTGACTGCCTTCTGATATGCACATGAATTACTGTTAGTATACAGTTAGACAAATGGAATGCACTGGCAGATACTACATTGAATGAGCCTGGTTTTGCTGAACATTTGTCATTTATATCTATTATCCTACCCTGGGTTCTCACAGCAAATTCTGTATTTTTGTTATATTCTGCAAAGTAATTCATAGTATCGTCTTTAGTTAGGTGAATGACATGTGCCTTCACATTTTCAGATTTGAAACTAAGCACATATTATATAACTTAGCTCCTCCAACAGGTAATATCCACACTCTGCTCAGTCAGCAGGCAGTCTATATGGCTGAGTTTGCATCCTATGCCCAGTCCAGATGTTCTCCCCAAATAATATCCCAGGGTGTAGAGTGTAGTAAACAAGATCAGGATCATGGTCTAGGATTTGAATCAAAATAGCTCTTCAATCTCCACCATTAGAAAGGTGCCTTTGATGATAAAAGCACATGCATCTTGAAGCACAAAGACACTAGTTGTCATAAGCATATCCTTATGGTTCTCTCCCTTACACGTGTTACACTTTTGAATGCTCCAAAATGCACAAGACCTTACTATGCAATATGAAAATCTGAAGATTATTGAATGATCTAAACGACACGCTTAGAAAATATTGGAGATGGTGGAGATATTAGAGATTGTGTTGTCCCAGCAGAAAGTGCTGCTCATTATCATGTAAGAGGACTGGGTTTGGGAGCCTCCAGATGAATCTTCTCATTGTAGTGTACAACCCTGAAAGAAACACGTTGCCTCTGAGCGCAGTGGGTGGGAGGTAGAGCAGTCTGGCAAAATTGCCATGAAAATTGATAAGCTGCTGTTCAAATTCTACTCACACACTGTTTACCTGGATGATGGAAAAGCTAATGAATTTTTACTCACTGGTCAAATAAATAATTCTGTCTATGAATTAGTGGGCAAGGTGGCTTTTACCGAGATGTTGAAAATTGCATCTGATTGCATTGTGGGTAGTCATAAAAGGATTAATCCTGCAATATCTGCATTCATATGAGAAAGGAAGGCAGGATTGCGCCCTAACGTTGTGCCCTGTCAGGTTTCTGTTCTTTCCATTCATGGTGTGTTTGCTGAAAGAAAAGGGCCAAAAGGTGACCCTGAATAACGTGGAGACTATAGCTTTGCTCTCACGTTAGAGAAGAGGCAGGCCTGTGTATAGGGTGACCAGACAGCAAATGTGAAAAATTGGGATGGCGGTGGGGGGTAATAGGAGCCTATATAAGAAAAAGACCCAAAAATCGGGACTGTCCCTATAAAATCGGGACATCTGGTTACCCTACCTGTGTAGTTCTAGTCTTTATTCAGCCTTCTGGGCAGAGAGAGTCCCTGCAGTTCTCCATGGCTCTTTAGCTCTTAGGCTAACTAAGAAAGCTTGTGATGTGCAGTGTCCCCACACGAGGTTTCTCCCAGGCTACACTGTTGCACATATGCTCACATACATTCCCTATGCCTGCACTGAGGGTCCACGTATGCTGTGCTGAACATAGGTATAACACTGTGTACACATGATACCCATATGTACACTGCCACAGTTGTTATGTGACATTAGCACTACCATTTCAGTGGTGGTATCCTCGGGTTCTGTGCATCACAGGGAGATGCTCTAGGAACAGCTTTGCTGTATGTCATTGGCACTCTCCCCAGCCTTCACACATTTTCCGATGGCAGTTCCTTCTCATGTCCCTCCCACCAAACTGGGTGGCTGACATGGAGCAATGGGATGATGATGTGGTTCTGCTGTGGCTGCTTATTGGGGGACAAATGGTTATGCAGTGGAGCACGTGATTTGTGAGATGCTAGCAGAATTTGGACAGAACTTTCTGACACATCAAAGATGGCTGAATGACAGTTCATTCAGTTCCCATGGTACAGATAGGGTGAATGCTGGTATTGCCACGGTATGCCTGTGGGTGGACCATTGCTTCTGGTGCAGGAAAACCAGCACAGTTTGGTGGGATCACATCATTTTGGAAATCTGAATGACCAGCAGTGGCTTCAGAACTTTTGAATGAGGAAACAGACCTTCATGGAGCTGTGGGAGGAGTTTGCAACAAACCTCAGCACCTGAACTTAATTCGGGGAAGCCATACTGGTGCAGAAGCATGTGGTTTCTGCTCAGTGGCAGCTGGCAACACCAGACAGCCATTGCAAACCTCTTTGTGGTTGGAAAGTCCACCATTGGAATTGTGCAGGGTTGTGAGGCAATTAACATTGTGATCTACCCATGCGTTGCTGACATAAGAAAAGTTCCAGAAATAATAGCTAGATTTCAGAGGATGGGGTTTCCAAAGTGTGCAGAAGCCACTGATGGCACCCATATCCCAGTACTTTGCCCACTTTGTAAAAGGAGCGAGTATGCAAACTGAAAAGGTCACTTTTCACTTGTTCTGCAATGCTTAGTGGGCCACAGAGGCAGATTCAAATATCAGAAACACTGGAAAGGTTCATGATGACAGGGTGCTTAGCAGATCGAGACTGTACATGAAGGGCAAAAAGGGACTTTATTCCCCAGAAACTATATGGTTCTAGATGGTGTGTCTGTGCCAACTGTTATTTTGGGGGATACCTCATACCCTTTCCTAATTTGGTTCATGAAAACATACCCGAACATTAATGACCGTGGGAAAAGAGAGTTCAGTTAGAAACTCAGCAGCTGCACGATGGTTGTGGAATGCAAATTTGGTAGGCTGAAATCCTGTTGGATGCCAATGAGACCAACACTATTCATATAATCATCATTTGCTGCACACTTCAAAACGTTTGTGAGAGTAAAGGGGAGTCCTTCTGTCCCGAGTGGAAACAGGACAAGTCTGCAAACTCTATAGAGGCAGGAAGGTCCCATTCACATGTATACTGTCCCAGCCCAGCAGGCAAGGAGAATGAGGGATGCCATATGTGCAAGCATCTTGGCACAACGGGGAGGCAGAGGATGACATCTGCCTGTGTTGAGGGACACCGTCACACACTATGCAGCTGCTAGAAATGCAAATGAGGGAACATTGACACATACTTGTGGGGCTATGGAGCTTTATGAGGATTCCCCCCCGTCCCCTCCCGTAGCCAAAGGTCATTAGCTGTTTGTTCCTGTGACAATTTACACAAAACAGACAATTATAACATGGCACCTCCACTGGTTTAATACTTTGGGTTGGCTTTGTGCTTGGGGGGGGGGGGGTGCGGCAGAGCTATAATATGGTTGGAACTGGTCAAGGTTTGGGAAGGGGAAGGAGAGGCTGTTTAATCATTGGGTAGTGGCAGATGCTGTCTTTGCCTGTACTGTTACTTAAAATGTGTTTCTTATTTCTGCATGTCAACCAAGCCATAAAGACATTTCTCTACCCATTTTCTATGTTGTGGGTTCTGCTGCATTTAGAACAGCAGTGCTTTCTGTGAGCATGTATCACTAACTGCACTTTACTCATCCCACCAATGTATACTTGGGACTGCAGATTTTTTTAACATGGGAGGGCAGGGCTTGTGGGTGTGGGACAGACAGAAAAGTAGTCGCATTATGATGGCACCAGACAGTTACACCATACCAATTCTGGCGCTGTGAATTGTGGGGCCCAATCCTGAATCTGAAAACACCTTATATTCGTCATACTTAGAAAGGAGGGTCCAAACATAAGTCAAAGGAAGTCTAATATTTATTAGCAGTATTATATGGAACATGTAATTGATTTTTTTTTCAAAATGAATGTAGATCCACAAAACATGAGACTGAATCTGTGAACAACAGCCCAATGTATAAATGTCTCTGCACCCATCTCCTTGCCCTCCCCTGACAAAGGGCAAATGATGGGGGAAAATTGTTCATGGGGACAAATGGGAGAGTCTTGTGTGGGGGTTTGGCGTTTGGGGAGCAGGCACTTGGTAGGCTTCAGGGACTTCTGCAGACTCATCATTCCCCTCCTGGATGCTCAGCAGAGTCTCCCTGCGAGGGGTTTCAGATGCTGGTGTAAGGTATGGTCCTGGGAGTCCTGCAGGCTCCTCCAGGTCACTTGGGGTGGTTGGGTCCTCCACCTTAGCAGCACCCTGGGCAGCAGGTGGAGGGAGAGGTGCCAGTTCATGGAGAGGTGCAGTGGCCACAACAGCAGGCAGACCCCAGAATTGTTCCGCTACCAATTCTATCACCCTCTCCATTAGGGAATGCTCCTGTTCCCTATGGTGTGCCTCCTGCTTCATGAACCACTTCATCAGTGTCTCTTCCTGCTGAAGAGTCCTATCCTCCCATGCCCTTAGGAATTAAAACTGTTCCTGGTTTCTCCTGTCCATGCCAATGAGCAGCTTCTCCACAACCCTCCTCTGTCTGCTGTCTCTGGGGTATTTCTCCTGGCGAATAGTTTCCATCTCAAGAGCCAAAGGTCCAGCCCATTGAAAGAGAAGGGTAGCATTAATTTTTCCCTGTTGAAGAAGCTGATAAATCCCCCCACATAACATGACTTTGCTGTAGAAGGCCACAATTTTGATACTTTTCATCATTCCAGGAATGCAACTGCTAGACTATCCTTGGTTCAGACAACTGTTGTGGCCCATGAGGAAAGAGCAGAAGCTAATAACGGTAAGAAAAATTTACTAATGTTTTTAAAAATGTAAAATGTTCATAGTATCTAAAGAGTGGACTAGGATGCAGTGGCAGTTTCTTCCAGGGGCTATGTTACCAGACTGCAATGTCTTCTTTAAAGCCTTGTCAACTTTTGGAGAACATAGCAGTTTTCAAAAAAACAGAATGGAAAGGAGAAGTGACTTTCCAGTCATGTGGAGGAGATCCAGGAATCTATGCCAGAGAGAGGTTTCTGCTAATGGTTACCACTCTACATATTGTTGAATGTTGGGGTTTGGTCAGCTATGAAGGTGGACCAAGCTGGAGTTTCAGCTACACCAGAAATGTATTGAAATGTCCTTACAGGCATGGGAGGCAATTCGACTGGAAATTGACTGTATTCTCAGCTAGCATATGGAGTGTGCAAAGGGAGATGCAAGCTACGTAATCTGTTTGTAAGGGGATGGTAAGATTGGGGGCAGGGGTGAAGCACTGAAACAAGGCACAAAAGACAGCTGTAGTTAACTATAAGTTTTCTACAACTGTCCCATCCCAAACCGGGACCTTTCTAAACCTGCACCCTCCTCTGGTCTGTGCAGCCCTGGGACCATCACTGCCTACATGCTGATTGAGAAATGCACAGACACTGGGGCACAATGATTGTTCCTTAATAATGTTTTATAACTTCTGCCAAATGCATCATAGTAGTTCATCAGAAATCAATACAATTGTTGATTTATTGCCATATCTTGCTCGGGGACCATTTAAAGGGTTGAAGCTGAGCAGGAGCTGGGCTTAAAATCAGGAATGCAGCATCAGAACAAGAGAGGACATTGGCAGAGCGGATGGGGGTCCATTGTAACTTAACAGCCTTGGGTTTTGGTTCCTGACACAGCTCTCGGTCCTCCTTGGGTTTGGCAGGGGGATCTGCTGGGGAGGAGTGCAGAATCACATGCTTTTTGTCCTCCAGTAATGCCGAAGCATCTTGTCCCTGTTGCCACTGCGCCCTGGCCCTCATTGGCCAATGTTGGACAATGAGCTCAGCGGGGTTGAGGGGCTTGTGAGCCACTTCAAGCTCTGTACTGGGAACCCTTAGCATCATCCTGCTATTTAGACTCACACAAATTTGATGAGCGCTAGTGTGAGTATGTGTACAGGAGCAAGGGAATCGTACCAGTAGCTCATAGTGTAGATATAGCCTGAGGGGCCTGATACAAAAAGGGTGTGTGTGAGAGAGAGAAACTATGTTAATTACAGCAACCCTTATTGAAAAGAGGCAAATGAGTTAGCCTACTCTTCAGTTTCTTCTTATTATCCAGGTAATACCAGAAGTTGTTTTTCTGTAACAATAAGATTTGACAGTTGTTTTTCAACTTTTGCTCATTGTGCAATAGCAGTGCACACAGTGCTGAATTTCCATTAGCACTTGTTACTGTTTTCACAGCAAAATGATGGATGGTGCCATTACTGGTACAGCTTTGTGAAAGAAAAATGAAGCCTGTGCTTTTTAATTTTTGTAGTTACGGCAATTACCCCAATTACTTTCAAATTATAGTTTGCACAGGCCCTATACCACATTTGAACAACCGAGAACAACCATTCTTCAACTTTCTCTGATATCTGCATGCACAGCATCCAAACTCTGGGCCTTTTACTGACCCTCCCATGAGTTTGTGGAAAGGTCCCTGAGTTTAAGAATATAAAGTACTTACAGAAACAGTACAGGGTCATTTTCATAAGACTTAACTATTGTACATGCAAAAGGGCCTTACACTTTAATTTATATCACACAGGCAAGTTTGGATCAAGCCCTATAATAATAATGGCACATTCCTTGCCATCTAAATTCTATAGATAGATAAATAATCTATCATTTGTGTGACTGTACGTCTCTGTATAGCACTGCTCTAATTTGGCTATATGTATTTCTAATATTTGTACCAGGGAATCTGTAGCTAGCAGAGCTGAAGGAAGCGAATCAAGGTCAGGTGGTCTGTTGCCCCTCAGTTAGAACAGTGAAGTACATAACTTCCATACTCCTAAGTATGTACCACACAGAGGTTCATAATTTTGTGTAAAATCCTGCTCCATTGTAATAGAGAAGTCCACAAGTATAAATCCCCTCTGTTTCTTAGTGAACCCTCACCCTTAACACCCAGGATAATTCAATGCACCTAATTAGACATATAAAAAAAACAGATGATATGTTTTGAAATGGATATTCAAAGATTTAGGATTGCTACTAGCAGTACCTATCATGTTTACAATGGCAGTAGCCATATCATTTTTTATTACTATGTAAATTGCTAGTCATATAACTCAACATCCTTCATGCTTGCTTCTGATCTGTTGTGAGACCAGCAAAATGTACTGTTGTGATTTAGCCTGATACAAAGTTTTACCCACAGTATATTATATGAAACACAATCATTCTTACCAACACATTTATTTTCTAAGGAAAAGAGATTCCCCTATCTTGTTTCTTGTAACCAACCAGTTATCCTCATTCTTACAACCTCCCCTTTTCATATCTTCCTGTTGACAGCATGATTTATTTTTTCTGGTAAAGTAGCAGCATGCGGATCAAAGGTTTATAGAGCCTTGCCTCTCCTTGAATCGACAAACAAAGGAGCAACAAAGACAAGATCTAAAAGTTTGCAAACCATTATCAAAGCAACAGAACTGGCAAACATCAAACGATTCTAAACAAGTAAAGAGATGAGAGCATCTGTGCTGTGATCCATATACACAAAATCCGTTGGGCTGTGGAATGAGTTGTACAATATGAAGTACAATGCAGTATGATTCAGACCTTATTTTGTAAAAATTTTAAGGAAGCAATCTAAATATTTTGCATCAAATCCCAAAAAATATTACATCTGTAATAGAGCTGAGCCCATCCTAAACATCAGACTGAACACCCTCAGATTCTGAGGAAATCCTGAGCTGCATCAAAACATTGCAGCTTAAGCCTGTGTCTAGTAATACACGGTCTTTCCCCTTGAAGGCAAACTGCAACATTTGTCTGGTTTCTGTTTTTTGTTTTTTGGTGTTTTTTTTTTTTGCAAATCTGTGATGAAATCCTGGCCCTATTGAAATCAATGGGAGTTTTGCCATTGACTTCACTCGGGTCAGGGTTTCACTCCTGGTACACTAAGGCTTACAATGGTTCTGGAAATGTTTGGAGTTCAGGTGGAAACAATGAAAATCAACGACATTGTTCTGAGCCAGGCAAAAGGTGACCACTATAGGATGAGTTTTGTTTTCAGTTTTTGTGAACTACAAATGTCACATACACCTTAATGCAGCCAAGTTGTGCAATAGGATGTGAGATGAGAGGGAGGTGGTGAAATGCATAGATTTTTAAAGCCAGAAGTGACCATCTAGTCTATCCTGTATAACACATAGGTCATAGAACTTTACCCAGTTACCCATATACTGAGTCCAATAACTTGTGTCTGTTTATCTTCTAGAAAGGCAGCCAGCCTTGATTTGATGACATTGAGAGACGGTGAATCCTCCACTTCTCTTGGTAATTTGTTCTAATGGTTAATCACCCTTGCTGCTAAAAATGTGTGCCTTATTTCTAATTTGAATTTGTCTGGCTTTAACTTCCAGCCATTACTTCTGGTGATGCCTTTCTCTGCTAAGTTCAAGAGCCTTTTAATACCTAGTATTTTCTCCCAACGAGGATAATTGTGCACTGTAATCAAGGCACCTCTCAATTACTGTTTTTGCTACGTGAAACAGCTCTTTAAGTCTCTTACTATAAGGCATTTTTCTCCAGCCCTCAACTAATTTTTATGGCTCTTTTCTGCACCCTCTCCAATTTTTCAATGTTCTTTTTAAAAATGTGAACATCAAATATGCCCATTCAACTGTTCTGTCACACACAGGATAGAAACTCCAAAATCTAGCCCCTTCTCTGTACTCCACATCCAGCCCTGCTCCCCCTCAGTGTCCCTGGGAAGGAGTTGCCACTGCAGCCTGGAGTGCACAGACCTGGTTCAATAGGATCACAATACCACTGAAATTTGGCCCAGCTACCCTTCCATCTGGCATTACAGAGGGAGAAGCTGGGTCAAATTTCAGTGGTGTTGCAACCCTAGGCATCAAATGCCCGAACACCACTCTGGCCTGGATTTCAGGTGCTGGAGGGATGCTATGTACTATCCTGGCAACAGTACTTTCTTGCCCTCTAAATTGCATGGACCCCTGTGCAGCTGCACCAGCTATTCCTCCACCAGTGTAATTGTACACAGTATTTTAGTATCAGTGTCACCAATGCCATATACAGAAGTAAAGTCACCTCCCTACTTCTACGCACTACTTTTTTGTTGATATATCCAAGGAGTGCATTGGCCTTTTTAGCCAAAGCATCACATTGGGAGAACATGTTGAGTCAATTGTCCACTATGACCCATAAATCCTTTTCAGAATCACTGATTTTCAGGATACAGTTCCCCCATTCTGTAGCTGTGGTCTTCTTCTTGTGGGGTTTTTTTTTTTTTAAGACGTATGCCCTTTTGTTTGACAGTATTAAAATTTCATTTGAATGGGCCCAGCTTACCAAGCAATCCAGATCACTCTGTATGATTGCCCTGCCCTCATCACTCCACCAATCTTTGTCATCCACAAATTTTATCGGTGGTGATTTTGCATTTACTTCATGGCTAACAATACTGAATAGCATCAGGCACCCACTGGTCCCTGCGGAATCCTACTAGAAACCTCCCCATTCAGTGATGATTCCGCACTGATGACTAGTTTTGAGATCTATCAGGCTGCTCCTGTGATCTCTTCCCCACTGTCCCCCATGGACCCTCCTTCCAAGACACAGGCTGCTTCTACCTGCAGTCTTTCCCGAATGGAACTCTGTGGTTCACCCCACTTTAAACTGGATCACCAGGCTACAACCATGGGCATAGTTTGGGGATGCACGCGGGGAGTGGAGGGGGCGGGACTGAGCAGCTGTTGTTCTGCGCTCTGGGTCGCTGCCTCACCAGCTGGACGCCGCCTCCTGGGTCTTAGTGCCCACCCGTTTCCCGTACAACGGTGCGTGCCTGCGCGGGGGTGGGGAAGGGGAGGTGGGTGCAGCAGGGGAAGGAGAAAGGGATGGGGCACGAGACAGCGAGGAGGGGACGAGGAAGAAGAGAAGGGGATCTGGGAATGGGCGGGGGAAGCAGGAACCCGGCATGTGTCAGTCCCTCGGCAGCAGCTCCAGAGCCGTGATATCGCTGCAGCAGCTGATGCCGGAGTGGCCTCCAGCAGCTGCTCGGGTTCTCCTGTTAGGCCTGGGTGGCAACCCAGGTATCGCTCCAGACAGGGGGAGGGAGCCAGTGAGCCCAGGAATTGGCTTCCGTGTGCACCTGTGTGCGTGCATGTGTCCCCTCCCCCCAATATCGCGGTCAAACTACGCCTATGGCTACAACACACCCTATTCCCATTGTCCTGGCATGGCTGCAGTGCGTGCTGTGCCTTATACCCCCTGGCAGTTCTGCATGAGCGCACTCCTCAGGGGACAAGTTTTGCTACTTTCACCTCTGTCCAAGTGGAGCCCTGCAGCTCTACCACACTCAGACTGACCCTATGTGGCAACCTCCCTCTTTCTCACTGTATTACCATGAGCGGCCCAAATGTAATTGAGACCTGCAAGCCATTCCACTCTGGGTGCCTGTGACTGTTAATTGATTAAAGTGACTCAAAACAGCTCCTTCCAAACAGACATATTGTTCATTCACCCAAAAGTATACCACAGTTAGGGGGAAAAGGTTAAACCACAAAAAGGCCTGCATGCCTGGGGCTTGCTGCTGCTCATAGTGTCTCTCAAAGCTGCAGAGCCCCTGCCTTAGTTCCACAGCCCTGCCGCATCAGTGTCTCTTAGGGTGACCAGACAGCAAATGTGAAAAATCAGGACAGGTGGTGTGTGTGGGGGGGTAATAGGAACCTATATAAGAAAAAGACCCCAAAATCAGGACTGTCCCTATAAAATCGGGACATCTGGTCACCCTAGTGTCTCTCCTCAAGAAGCTGCTGCCCATTTATTCTTTTCCTCTAGGCCTGGCTCCTCCTGCCGCGCACCCCACATTGGAGACCACTGCTCAACACCATAGCTAAGTTAATTAGTACCTCATTGCATGTAGTACTTTGGATATCTATAAAGGACCATACATACAAAATATGATTTTAAGCAAGTCTCTTTAAGAATTCTTATCTCTGATCTGCAGTGCAGATTTCAGGCCTAAGCCACCTGACATTGGCCACTGTCAGAAGACAGGATACTGGGCTAGATGGACCTTTGTTCTGACCCAATATGACTGTTTTTATGTTCTTATGTAATCCTGTTCCTATGAAAATCAATGAGAGCAAGATTGGGCTCCTCAATTGCATATTTTATACTTATTCCATAGGTTGAACTCCCATGACTATCAGTGGAAGTGCTGGACAGAGAACAAATGCAGAATATGCTATGGATATCTGCAGTAGAGCTCAGATAAGATGCTTTTAAAAGCCCATGATGCTTATATGTCTGCATGTAAACATATTCAAGCCCACCTAGAACCCTAGGTATGTACTTGAGCTGCTAGCTTCTGGTCCTACTTGAGCTGCCATAGCTTCAGTGTTATTGTTATTCAAACTAGTTAGATCAAAACTAGCTCAGCTATGTCTACATGTGCTTCAGTCACACCTCTGATTGAAGTGTAGACATTTCCAGAGAGGCATAAGATATATATATTAGCCTGTGATGGGTTGCTCTACTCACAGCTGGATGGCGCAGCCTCCTGGCAGTTCTGGAGAGTAGCTAGGTCAGGCCAACGCTCTCTTTATCCTGCTCTCACTCCAGAAGCTGCTGGTGCCTCTTCATGACTCAGCCCTCCGGGGTGGGGGTTGGGTGGGATGGGGGAGTCTTTTCTCCCAAACAGGCTCAAGCAATCTTCCTATGCACTGCCCCACTTGTGCCATTTCCCCAGTGGCTGGTGGGGGAACCCAGTGAGCTTCTTTTAATAAACACTTTCAGCCCTCAGCCTAACAGGTTAATTGGCCCAGTCTGGCCTCCGTTAACTCTTTCAGGGTGAATGTGGGGTGGACACCCCATCACATAGCCATATTTATTAAAGTTTGCAAAGGGAACATGCACTACAACTCCCTGCACCAACTAAGTCAACTATCCAGGGACAGGATTCCACCCTTTCACTCTCCCCACCCCATAAGAAGTCTTCTATGGGGAGTTATCACATCTGTACAGCCCCTGACTACCCTGTCCCACTCAGTGCTGTAGAGTTCACTGGTATAAGGTTGGGGTATAGTTGCTTTATGCCACTACAACTTGGTTTCATGTTAGACTTTCTGCTAACAGGACATTTTGCTCATGCTGGAGTAAATCTGAGTCTATATGTTTATGAATATGCAGAGTGTTATTGAAATTCCATATTGAATATTTACTGTACACTACGTAAAACTGACCTACATGCTACAAAATGACTGGATGGCAATAGTATTTGCATATGTTCAGGTTTTTTAACTTGGACTGATTAGAAAATTCAAGCTCTTCATTGTTTAGACTCTCTATCTAACTCTTTTTAGATAACAAGTACAAAACCACTATCTAATCCAAGAAGGAAAACAACAGAGCAAATTGAGAATGCTATTGTTCTCTTTTTGCGGTTTATAATGTACTGTCAGATGCAGGTTTCTAACAGTCCCTTAGGGTAAGTCACAAACAAAAATTATCACATCATCAACTTAATTGCCTCTTCCCAGAATCCCTAGTGTGTCTGTTTAAAGTTTTATTTAACAATGGACTGTATCAAAGGAATATCACCCTTAAATGATTAAATCCATTCCAAATCTAGTGGAAAAGAAGAGTGGGCTGAGGTTTTTCAGGCAGCAACCAGACCTTGGAAAGTTTAATTGTGGATAGTCATAGCTAAAGCTGCATTTTTGTCTCATCAGTCATGGGTGGCATGGAGTCCATGATTTTCTTGTTTTTCAACTATACAGCCGTGATTTTTGGCATGTGGGGACTTTTTCCTGATGGGTGGATGGACGTTGTGGTAACTATTCAGTTGATTTCACCAGGAATCTCGAGTACTGTCAAGTTAAACCCCAGACTGCATGGCTGGTTTATAAAGAGCTCCAGGAGCTCGGCAACAACAATACGTGATGCAAAGGACCCAACCAGCGAACTCTGGGGATGATGAGGTTTCTTCCTCCCTCAAGGTAACATTCTGTAAGAATGGAATTTGGTTGGGGTCATAGTAAGGAGAAAAAAATAGTGGAACTGTTTTCATGCACCGCTTTCCATACCCACTCCTCTTTGGGCACTTTTCCCTTTGCCTTTTCATGATGTCTTTTGCTCCTCTCTCCTGGTGATTGCTGTCCCATTCCCTTTGAGGCTCATCGGTGCTTTCTTTTGCTGTCCGTTGGAGGCTGCTTGCCTCTTTTTCCTGTTTTCTGTGGAAGTAGCGTCATCTCATTCCCTGTCATCTCCTTCCCCTTCAGCTGGCATGAATGAAATTTGGGTTAGGTGGC